GTCAATTTATTTTTTAATCTAAAAGGTTACTTTAAAGATAATACTTTCCTATTAATAGAGTTGCTTGTGTTTTTTTTAGATTATTTCTAAAAATAAAGACATAGGTTTATGAATTTTGAAAAAGAGAAACAGTTGCCTTAAAGTAAATGTTTTTCAATAAAATAGTTATTTCTACATCTTTTTAAAATGTAAATATTCTACTATAATATATTTTTATATGTGCTGGGTAAATAAATGGGCCCTCAGGGGGAGTGAGAGGCCCTGGTTTGTTTGGTGCATACTCCCACTACGGCCAATTACAAATGACCAACAATGTAACACCTGGCTCACAAAATTGCTGACCATTTATTAATCAGCTCTAGTGAGTCCACAAGAGCAGGCTCTCACAACAGTAGAAAGTACTTACCCTCTTTCTCTGGGAAAATGGGAATAAAGGGCCTACTTTGATAACTTTTAGAGCTGTCTGAATTATCTTCTTTAAACTTACTACTCTTCTGATCTTAGTCAGTTTTCATTAATCTAGCAAGGACAGGGCAATATCCTTTTGACTAAGGGAACTGCAAGAAGTAATGGAACAGCTGTGACCTTCAGATTGTCTAATAACTTGCTAAATTAATGGCACCTGGTATAAGTGCACAGTAGACATAATCTCGATCTCACTCCTTCCCCAACTTCTTTTCTTGACATCCACAGAACTTCCTTTCTTTGTAGAGCTAGGCTTACAGCATAAACTAAAATTTAGGGGCATAAATGGAATATGTTCTCAATTTTAATGTACCATCAGTTGCAAAATATATGTTCAGCTTAATAGTAATTTTCATGGAAAGGAAACTACAGTACACTCATCAATTATAAAATACATTCTTTTTCCAAAACCAGAAGAGAGAGAGAGAGAGAGAGAGAGAGAGAGAGAGAGAGAGAGTGTGTGTAAATTAAGAGTGTACAACTTAATTGGGGGTAGTGTGAGCACACCTATCCTAGGATTGTGCTTTTTCAATGAGAGAAGGGGGAGGGATAGATTTTTCTCCCTCCTAATAGTTTCAAATCATCAGCACCCTTATGTTACAACATTTGTAGGTAGTGAGTGGACTCCAAATTTCTATGGTACCTCCTATAAGGAGCTTTGCAATAATTTTTATGTCCTCTTAACTGTCTTTGAAAGTGTACTGTTACCAATGAACAAGAAAAAAATAACTCTTAAAAAGTGGACAAAGGACATCAACAGACACTTCTCAAAAGAAGGCATATAGGTTGCCAACAGACATGAAAAACTGCTCAATATCACTAATCATCATGGAAATGCAAGTTAAAACCACAGTGAAATACGATTTCACACCAGTCAGAATGGCTATTATTAAAAGGTCAAAAAATAACAGACGTTGGCAACAATGAGGAGAAAAGGGAACGCTTATACACTGTTGGTGGGATTGTAAAATAGTTCAACCCCTTTGGAAAACAGTTCAGTTGTTTCTCAAAGAACTAAAAACAGAACTACCATTTGACCCAGGAATCCCGCTGCTGGGCATCTACCTAAAGGGAAATATATATATGTATATATACATATATATATATTTGTATATAATAATATACAAATTATTTGTATACTATAATATATATAAATATATTACATGATATATATTATATAATATATATAAATATATATTACATGATATATATTATATAATATATATCTTTATATATATTATATATAATTATATATATTATATAAAATATATAATATTATCTAATATATTAATATATTATTTATCAAATATATATATAATCAAAAGACACACTCATATGTTTATCACAGCACTATTCACAATAGCAAAGTTATGGAGTCAACCTAAGCACCTGTCAATGGTGGATTGGATAAAGAATGTGGCACATATACGCCACAGAGTACTTGAAAAAGAATGAAATCATGGCCTTTGCAGCAACATGGGTGGCACTGGAGGCCATTATCCTAAGTGAAATAACTCAGAAAATCAAATGCCACATGTTCTCACTTATAAATGGGAGCTCAACAATGGGTACACATGGTCATAAAGATGAAAATAATAGTCAATGGGAGCTCCAAAGGGGGAAGAAATTGAAGGAGGGAGACGATGGATAAAAACCCACCTATTGGGTGCTAAGTTCACTATCTGGGTGATGGGCTCACTGGAAACTCGAACCCTACCCATGTAACAAATCTGCACATGTACCCCTGAATCTATAATACAATTTAAAAAATGTATTGTTACACTCTCAGTTAGAAGCTTAATACATCTGATACATGAAATTAGAACAGATGAAGGACAGTACTGAAACCAACATCTTTATTTCATTACATGACAGTGTGACCGAAATTGACATTATGATTTTTAAGGTAAAACAGCAAATAAAAAATTTACACTGAAAGAAGTCTTTATTTCCTTTTCTCTTTTGTAATTGATTTTTTTGTGTGGCATTTTTTAAATTCCAAGATTTCTTACTTTTAAAAAATGTCTATATCTTTACCTGTCCCTTTATACATCTACCTATTATTCAACTATTCTCTATCTCTCATTTATGAATCTATGTGTCTATCTATATCTAATTAGCTATATATCCATCTATCTGTCATGATATTCAAAGTAAGGGCAAGAACACGACTATAGATTGGAAATCTGAAGCATGAAAATAGTATTTTCTATTACATGTAGTTTCGATATCACCTTGGCCACTGATAATATAATATAAATATGTTTATTCACTACTCTTTTTTCCTTTTCTTTTTTTCACTGTGTCTTTTTCCTAGCCAAGAGCCTTATTTTTAGGTCTTCTACTTGCTGAGCAGAATGAGGATTGCGTTTGGCATATATAATACTGGTATAATTCATTGAAAGCCAAAGTGAGAATTAGGTTGCATTAAAATATTTTTATTGACAAATTTCTAATTTATGAAGGCAAAAGAGTGATTTTGCATGGTGAACACATTATTAATTAATTCAGTAAGTATACAAGACCTCAAGTGAAGAAAACATATAGGAATGGGAAATTTCCTCTAGAATTTTAGTGGGTTGTGGGAAGTATAATAAAAGTATAGATTTTCGTCTTTCAGCCAGACCGAGGATATCAGAATGCTATGAGACTGAACATGAGCGTATGCTTTTAGTAAATCTAAAAAATCTGTTTTTAGTGATTTTTTATTGTATTGCTCTTTAGAAATTTCTGGCCCATATTGTGTGTGATCCACAGAATAAATAAAATTTACATTAGGGACACCTATTTCCTCCTTACCTAACAGGTTAATATATTCTCCTTCTTAAAAACATTTGTTTTCCCAGGTTGAGGTTTTGCTACAGAAAAAGTTCTCTCTAACTTTTCCTCTCCAACATTCACACTTCCCACACTTCTCCAGTCCTGACTCCAGAGACACTAGTTTAATTGGGGGCACCCAACTAGACAAAAGTAGTTTATTTAGCTCTTGATCAATTCTATATTTCTTCCTGTGGGTGAAGCTAAGTTCATCTCTTCTTTCTGATTTTCAAATTCTTTTTCTGCTTAATTTAATGAACCCCTACTCTATAATGCACTAAGCTTGGTACAGAAGAATATAAAGATAAATATGATATGTGCTTACATCCCACTGAAGGAGTTTGATGTGATATAAATAAATATAACATAAGGCATAAATCAGGTTTATAAGAATAAGATGAAAGTTTTCAAGTCTCCAAGTCTTCTTTTAGGTCCAATAAAACAACTCAAGTCTCCATTGCACACATCCTGAGGAGTTCAGTGCCATTTCTGGTGTTTATGATGATTCCTGCTTGGTGGTGCTTACCATCCCCTAGCAAGTGCATTTTTCACTCCAGACTCAGTTCTGGATCACTTACTACCACTCCTGCCTGTCTCTTTCTGGTTCTCAGGGCTTTATCCCAAGCATGGGCATGTCTCCATCCAAAAGAAGCATAGGTTTGAGGCTACTATGTTGGGTAGCAGGCATTAGAAACAATGAATATTCATTACAGTATAGACACCAACTACACTTGGGTATCAAGTTATTTTGAAATTCCTCACTTAGGTCAGACTGCATATGGCAATTACTCACTCATGATGTATTTCTTTGGTCCCAGACTCCTAAAATACTGCTAGAGTTCATCCTGTCACTGACCAAATTCCACCTCCATCTCCATTTTCCAAATTTTAGAAATAACTTCCCAAGCACCAGGGAGAATCAAAAGTTAAATATACTTATGCAGAATAAATTTGTTGCTTTCAATTTCAACCTTGTTTTTCCACAGCATCCTGGGAACAATTCTGGGTACAAGCAATAGGCTCTGATAAGTATTTTTACAAACCAAGCAACATTTTCTCAGTATCCATTGTAACAGTAGCCATTTTTATTTCTTTGTCCATTTCATTATAGAGACATAAACTAATTGCCCTAGGAATATGTACTTTTTATAATGAGTCGTATAACATGTAACAAATTGGTGGGGGGTGGGGGGGTGGGGAGTGGGAGAGAGACATGCTTTTTGCAGTCAAGGACCATCTTTCTTTACTATATTCCTAAGTACTAATATAGTTCCCAATACAAAATTGTTATTTATTATATTATGAAATGAATAGATAATTGAATATTAAAAATATGTGTCTGGCTATTTTAGTCATAGCAAATAATGCCAAATCATTTGAGAAGTCTAGGCAACATGGAACACCAGTGTGGGCTGAGAAAAGATATGTGGTGGGGTGTGGTTGTCACTTAAGCAGGCAATTAATTTTTCACATGATTAGTTATTTAATTGGCCATTCATATAATGTTAATGCATTTGAATTTGTAATTAATCTCTATTTTATTTACAGCATTTTATATCTATTGTCCAAGTCTAATGTAACAGTATGTGGCCTTGACTTTTTAAGTGGATTTACCACTAAGCACATGTACACACACACACACACACACACACACACACACACACACACACAGGACTGGGGAAATTAGAGAAGTAAAGTCAGACACATTGTCTTTTCAGATTGTGACCGAATTGCAGATGATGGGCTCGGGTTGCTCCCAGATAAGATGTGTTCTTCCAGGCCCTTGGTCCCTCACTCACCCAAGAATAGGGGAGAGGACCCAGCCGAGCATGGTAAGTTCGTGCAAGTAAAAGAAAGTGATTTATTTAGGAAGAGAGAGAGAGAGAGAGAGAGAGAGAGAGAGAGAGAGAGAGAGAGAGAGAGAGAGAGTTAGCTCTCATGCTGTCATGAGAGGGGATCCAGATATGGAGTCTGCACAGATGAGAGAGAAGAGGACTTTCAACCTGGGAGTTATTCCCACCCTATATAAGTTTTTTGTCCTATGAACGGAGTTCCTTTAAACTTCTGCTGGAGTGATTGACCTTTGATTTCTGTGCCGTCCATCTTCCCATGCATGGGAAAGTTAACCAAAGACCTCTAAGCTCCCAGATGGAGATGTGAAAGAAGACAGGTTGGGCATGTCACCAGGAAGTTCTTGCCTTTGAAACCACTCCCCTTGTGGACCCAGGAAGAGAAGTTAATTACATTCCCTCAAGAAGACATTTTTTGGTGATCAGATAGATCTAATTTACAGAATTTTATTTAAAAACATACAATATTTAAATTTTGAACTTTCTTTTCTAGATCAAGTATTGCCAAACTTTTTCTGTAGGGAGTCAGATAGTACATATCACAGCCTTCGTGGGTCATTCTCTGTCCCAACTGCTCAGTATACAAATTTGTGGATATTGTTGTGTTCCAAAAAGCTTTATTCACAAAAATAGTCAATGGGATAAATTAGCTCCATTGGCCAAAGTTTGACAACCTCTAGACCTCTTAATGTGATTTAATCTCTTGACAAATCATGGGGGCTTTTGCTTTGAACTTTGTCTTTCTCCATGAACTAGTTCTTTCTGTTCTTTTCTGTACTTACATATGGTCTTTCAATTTTAAAAATAGTTTGTGGTTAAGGAAATGCTATTCTAATGTAAGTATCATCTTGCATACCTTCTTTCCTCTGGGCTCTTTCTCTTCTTCCACCACCTATTACTCCCTAATTGTTTCAGGTGTCATTCTCCCAGAATCCTCTCAAATCAGCAACCCTGGTTTTATATGTGTCTAATACCTAGCACAACGAAAGTTCTTTTTAATGCTTATTTAAGTAGATCATGTCAGAACAAATCTGGGAAATGTAGAAAAGTATCAGAAAATATTCAAGATTGATAAATATTTTTCAAATATTTCCTAGGTGCTGGGCTATGAAGGAGCAAAAACATTGCACCCAATCCCATTAGAAATATATTAGCACTTACTTTTTCAATGTACAAGTTTATTCTTGTTGGGTTTTTGTTTTTTTTTTTTTCTCAGATAGAGTCTTGCTCTGTCGCCAGACTGGAATGCAGTGGTGCAATCTCGGCTCACTGCAACCTCTGCCATCTGGATTCAAGTGATTCTGCTCCTTCAGTCTTCCAAGTTGCTGGGACTACAGGCACATGCCAGAATGCCCAGCTAAATTTTGTTTTTTTGATACAGAGTTTCACTCTTGTTACCCAGGCTGGAGTGCAATGGCACGATCTCAGCTCACTGCAACCTCCACCTCCTGGGTTCAAACAATTCTTCAGCCTCAGCCTCCAGAGTAGCTGGGACAACAGGCACGTGCCACCATGCCCAGCTAATTTTTGTATTTTTAATAATTTTGTATTTTTAGTTTTACCATGTTGACCAGGATGGTCTCGATCTCTTGACCTCGTGATCCTCCCGCCTCAGCCTCCCAAAGTGCTGGGATTATAGGCATGAGCCACTGTACCCAGCCTAATTTTTTTTTTTTTAACTGTACTTTAAGGTCTGGGGTACATCTGCAGAACATGCAGGTTTGTTACATAAGTATACACGTGCCATGGTGGTTTGCTGCATCCATCACCTTGTCATCTACATTAAGTATTTCTCCTATTGCTATCTCTCCCCAGTCCCCTCTACTCCCCGCTATTCCTCCCCTAGCTCCTCATCCCCTGACAGGTCCAGGTGTGTGATGTTCCCCTCCCTGTGCCCAAATGTTCTCATTGTTCAACTCCCACTTATTACTGAGAACATGCGGTGTTTGGTTTTCTGTTCTTGTGTTAGTTTGCTGAGAATGAGGGTGTCTAGCTTCATCCATGTCCCTGCAAAGGGCATGAACTCATCCTTTTTATGGCTGTGTAGTACTCTGGTGTAAATGTGCCACATTTTCTTTATCCAGTCTATCATTGATGGGCATCTGGGCTGGTTCCAAGTCTTTGCTATTGTGAATAATGCCATAATAAACATACATGTACATGTGTCTTTATAAGAGAATGATTTATAATTCTTTGGGTATATACCCAGTAATGAGAGTGCTGGGTCAAATGGTGTTTCTAGTTCTAGATCCTTGAGGAATCACCACACTATCTTCCACAATGGTTGAACTAATTTACACTCCCACCAACAGTGGGAGTGTAAACTTGTTCCTGTTTCTCCACATCCCCTACACCATCTGTTGTCTAGTGACTTTTTAATGACTGCCAATCTAACTGGAGTGAGATGGTATCTGAATGTGGTCATTTCTCTAATGGCCAGTGATGATGAGCTTTTTTTCATACGTTTGTTGGCTGCATAAATGTCTCCTTTTGAGAATTGTCTGTTCATATCCTTTGCCCACTTTTTGATGAGGTTGTTTGTTTTTTCCTGTAAATTTATTTAAATTCTTTATAGATTCTGGATATTAGCCCTTTGTCAGATGCATGGACTGCAAAAATTTTCTCCTATTCTGCAGGTTGCCTGTTCATTCTGATCAGTTTCTTTGGCTATGCATAAGCTCTTTAGGTTAATTAGATCCCATTTGTCTATTTTGGCTTTTGTTACCATTGCTTTATTTATTTATTTATTTATTTGCATTTTAGTAGAGACAGGTTTCACCATGTTGGCCTACCTGGTCTTGATCTCTTGAGTTCATGATCTGCTCACCTTGGCCTCCCAAAGTGCTGGGATTACAGGTGTGAGCCACTGCATCTGGCCTTACAGGTTTTAAAAAGTAAAAGTGACCACACTTTTAAAAAGTAAAAAGACCACTAATGATCATTTTTTCTTACCTTTTCAATTCTTTTGTATAAAGAAAGCATCATCCCTAGTATTTCATACTTTTTATAAACATGCTTTTAATGATGACTATTACACTATAGATATGTTAGACTTACTATTTAATTATTAACACTATCATAATTATTATGACAACAAACAACTATTTGTGTAAAGTTAAAAAGTTACTTGAAGTTATTTAGGATAAATTCTGGATACAAAGTTACTGAGTCATAATGGCATAAATGGTTTCAAGGCAAGTGAAACACCTTGCCAAATTGATGTCACAAAAGATTTACCTAATTCACATTTCTTCAAGGAGTACATACAATCAGAGATGTGCTAGAGTTTACTTAGATTGGCTCAAGAAAGCCTATCATAAGCATGACTTCACAATTTAGTGTTTGGTGACATGTATTTGGTAGCTTGCAATCAGCCATGGTGAGGGTATTTACACAACAGAAATCAGCAAATGCTACAAACAAGTAGTGTTGTTTTACTTCCCTCCAGAGAGCAAGTCCTTGAGCATTTCTCAGCATAGCTATGCAGCATAGCTTTTTATCATACCACTGGACAACATAATTTAAATTTTTTTTTGCCAATTAAAAAAACAATATATTTAAACATATTTTCCATTTGCTTGATTGCAATTAGGGTTAACTATTTTTATTATTAACCAACTGCCTTATTTTTACTTCTTTATTTGAGGCAGGGTTTTGCTCTGTGGCCCAGGCTGGAGTGCAGTGGCACAAACAGAGCTCATTGCTGTCTATCTTCTGGGCTCGAGGGATCTTCCCTCCTCAGTCTTCTAAGTAGCTAGGACTACAGGTATGTACCACTACACCCAGATAATTTTTTAAAAATTGTTTTGTAGACATGAGGTCTCCCTTTGTTGCTCAGGTTGGTCTTGAACTCCTGGGCCTAAGGTATCCTCCCGCCTTGGCCGTCCAAAGTGCTGGAATTAGAAGCATGAGCTTTTAAATAAAAATTTATTTATTTTTAGCATTTATTTTAAAATAGGCTCTATATGTTTGTGACTGTTTAAAAATAAATGCTAAAAACAAATAAATAAACAGAAAAGGAAGTCTTTGTCTTTTACGAGTGTCCTCTTATCTCTGCTGTCCTCTTATATCTTTACTATAGTTATTTCTATAAATTTATCATCTACTCTACCAAATGTCTGTAACTGTACACATTAGAAGGATTCAAACATACCCATCCTCCATAATGCCTAGCATCATGCTAAATATGTAATAAGTAATCAATAAATATTGAAAAATTAAGTGATAATATATATTAAATTTTGGCTTATTCTTGCTCTTGCTTGCATTAATATTTCTCTTATTATGATAGGTTTTGAAGAATATAGGAGTTTAACATCAAATAAGTACATTTTGTTTCATAGTTTAATAGTCTGAAAAATTTGATTATTTTCACAGATGCAGGTAGAATATTAATTTTATGAGAAATTTCTTAAAGGATGAAGCATTCTACAAAGTATATTTTATCAATGACTATGGGTGTGTATTAAAGTTTTTTGATATTTGATTTATTAAAACCTAGTGACATTTATTCATCTAGGAGTAAAATAATAAGGATATACCTGAAGCAAAAAGAACACCACTAACTTTTAAAATCAAGACAAAATGTACAGTAAACGCAATCAGGTATATGCATGTTATAAGTAGGATTGGCACAGAGCTGATGAATAAAAAAATGTGGTTTCAGAAGAAATTACCCAAAAGACGGATTATTGGACATGTGTAGAATGAAAATTTCCAGTCTCACTTGACAATGGTGCTTTTAGGCTCAATGTACTCTTTTAGTATCATGCAGCCAAAAACTCACTTGGAGCTTTAACCAGGGATTGTAAGCAGATGAACAGGTTAAGTTACATTCTACCTAGACCTGCAGGATAGATCAAATGTTCGATCCACATACTTGGAAGTTGGTCCTAAGAAAAGATATCCTATGTGAGTCCAACTTGTGGAAAACCAGGACACCAATACTAGGAAGTAAAATAGCAGAGACCTGTGGATGTTGGGACAACTACAGATGGAGGAGGCGAGGATGAAAGGGTTTAGGGCAGAATTAAGCCACTGAGCTCTCAGTGGAATATCTAAAAGGGAATTCTTTTAAGGTCTAGGAGCACCTCCTAAGGTGTCATAACCATCACTCAGCTGTAGTAACTCAATATGCCTTTCCTAGATTATGCCTTGACTGAGGAAATTTTCCCTTGGTTTACTACTCTTATAAATTCTGATGACATTTCACTCTAAGCACCTAATTACTCAGTCATATTTTCCTCTCTAGTTCCTACTTCTATAGACAGACTTCTTACTCATACCTTGAAGTCCTGTTCCTCTGCTACTCCATATCGTGGTCTCTTTTCTGTTTAGTCAATACTCACATGTACCTAACACTACAGACAGATCCTCCTTTTCAATTCCACTTTAGTTTTTATATTTTCTTAAAATATAAAATAGTTTTTCATAAAAACTACATAATGTTTAACCTGTCTGGTAACAGCCTATGCCTGAATGTAGTAAAGATTTGTTTCTGTGCATGTCCCAATAGCCTTATCTATTGCCAATCTACATTCTTGAATCTTCATTTTAAGTAAAAGCACATCCAGCAGATATTGACTCAACCTTGGTCTTATTTTTTTTAGCTTGGTGTAATGAGATTACAAGGCAAGGGGCTTAATTATAGAATAAAGAAAAGAAAATGAAAAAAATTTTGTGACTGGGAAAAATGAGATAGAAATAAGGCTTGTGGGATCTGAAAGACCCACTTATACCCAATTGGCGCTATCTTTTAATTACTTCCCAATAATCTCAGCAAAACAGATTGGGTTCCCTAAATCATGGGCCTTTGTTATAGAAATACTCTGCTAAGAAATGCTAATATAACTTCAGGCAATTATATATTGTTTATAAGGGAGAAATTTCTAGTTATACATATAGCATGGTGACTGATTATATATAGTATGTGTATGCTATAAGATGGATTTACTATTATTTTAGTACATTCAATTTAAACAAGTTAAGCAAACATTTGTTCCTTTTGCTCAATATAATAGTAACAATGGCTCTATGAAGGAATATGTCCAGCAGTGTATGTTATTTTTGGCATAATATGTTGCTTTCTTCTGTATAGTATGCTCTATGTAGTTGGGATTAGTGTCAACTAATACAACAGAAACAAAACAAAACAACAGTAGCCTAAACAATATGGATATTTAATTATCTCTCATGATCATATTCTAGAGGTATTTGTTCCAGGACTCATATAGTGGCTTCTTGACATCATCAGGGGCTTGGGCTTATTTTGGGTTCCACAAACTTAGCAGGTGGTTTCTACCATGAGATGCTACAGCTCCAGCCATTATGCCCACATTCCAGGATAAGAAGAAAAGGTAGCAAAGGACGTTGGTTCATTTCCCTCCTCATTTTGAAGGAGCTCAATGACAAAATGGGCATGTTAATATGACCAGACTAAGCTCCAAGGGAGGAAAGAAAATATAGTTCTTTTAGTGGGTGGCAAGTGCACAGTTAAAAATTGTAGTTCTAATAATGAGAAATAAGGAGAAAATGGATTTTGAGAGGTAAATAAAAATCTCATTGTAGGCCTTCCCTAATTCACTGTTTTTCATTTTATATGTCACAGTGGGAAGCTACTGTTACAGTACCTTGTTATAATTTAATTTTAGAGGCATTCCCATATTGTGTAAGGACCTGGGGATTTAAATAAGATATTGCTCCTATGTATGGAGTGCTTATATGTACTAGAAAAATAAAGAGATAAACAATTTTGGGATGATGTGATAAACCCATTGACAGAGGTTCAACTGGCTGTCTAAGCACTTGCTCATTAATTGATTTATTTGTATAAAAAAACTTACAATGATGTACATTTGAATTTTATTTTCTTGCAAGTTATCCTTCTTTAAAAGAATAAAACTACATAAAAGGTACATTTTTGGTGTCTTTATCCATCATTATTTTAAAACAGGTATTTTCAAATTGTCAAAACAAATATGATAATTTAGTTATCAAGCATGAAAAAGAAATTTAAATAGCCACCATTATTCTGTGCAACCAATCACAAGTAAATTTGATTTTTCAAAAATAATTTGGCACATGCATAATCAGAGAAATGGTACAGAGAACAGAAAAGGTCTCTCTAATTTTCCCAGTAAAATGTGTAGACAAACAATAGCACATGGATAAACTCTTGTTTTAAACAAAAGAAGTTTCTTATTATTGTGGGTAGTATCCTACCAATGAATGATTTATAAAGTGGAATTTGTTTCTTCAAATTCTTTTGAGGATCAATTTCTTCTAAAAATTAAAGTTTTAAAGAATACAGAGATGTATAGATTAATTCTTGTAACATTCTCTTGGCATTTTCAAGATTCATTTATTATTGAGGATCATAGGTATTGTTTTTCATACACTTGATTGAAGAAATGCCTTTTCAGACCTCTCTCGGCAAGTGTCAGAGTAATTCATGTCTTAGATAATCAACAGTTATTTACAGTTTCAATTATAAATGATTAAGTGTCCTGTTCCCAAGAGTTTGTTAAACAGTGAAATAACCCCTTCATTTTAGCATTCACACCCAATAATGTGAAGATAATGTTATGCATTTACTTATATTTGGCATGCTGATGTTTTCTTGGGAAAAATACTAGTTTCAACTCTTTGTGACTGCATATACTTTTTTCAAGCCTCGTTAAAATATGATTTAAGGTCACAGATATCATCACAAAGATTATTATACAACACTGATACTATGTCAAGCAAGCAATCAGGATTTGACTTAATCAGATAATTTAACATGAACACCTCTTGTTACTTACTTATATCCAAACTGGAGTAAATATTGTGACTAGAAGTTTTTTCCTGCATGTGTTACTGTTTAAAAGAGAGTCATGATTCTAAAAAGTGAAGACACTCACAGTGTAGCTTTTATTATTCAAATATTCTGTCTATTTTGGAAATCAGAAAAAATGTAAAGTAGAAGAAAAATCATATATACACCATGATAGTTTCTTTTTTCTAAAGTAAGGTGTTTTAGACTATTTCATAAAATAAACAAAGTACTAAATTATGGAAATTATAAAAAGAATAGAAAATTGGAAAAATTCATAGTCTTATTAATAATTAATTTTTTTTTTGAGATGGAGTTTCACTCTTGTTGCCCAGGCTGGAGTGCAATGGTATAATCTTGGTTCACTGCGACCTCCACTTCCCAGGTTCAAGAGATTCTCCTGCCTCCGCCTCCCAAGTAGCTGGGATTACAGGCCTGCAACACCACACCTGGCTAATTTTGTATTTTTAGTGGAGAAGGAGTTCACCATGTTGGCCAGGCTAGTTTTGAACTCCTAATTTCAGGTGATCCACCCACCTTGGCCTCCCAAATTGCTGGGATTAAAGGCTGCCATGCCTGGTCAATAATTATTTAAAATATAAATCTTAAAATGTAATTCTTGATTTAAGAATAAAATTTTTTTGTTTCTTGAATTAATCATTTTTCTCCTACTAACACATTATAATAATTATTTTCCTTTTTTAAAAAAAACTTTTCTGAAAAAATATATATATACTAAAATAAACAAAAATATATGTGAATTATTATGAAGTAAATATGCCTGGGTATCTGCACTGAGGTCAAGAAATAGAACATTATCAACACTCAGAAGACTGCCTCATGAGTCATCAAATCAGTATTCTCTCCCTTTGTCCACGAGATAACCACTGTTCTGACTTCTCAGATTATAATATAATTTTGTCTATGTTTAAATTGTATGTTAACATAATCCTATAGTACTCTTTGTGTCTGGCTTCCTTGCCTCAATATTACCTGTAGAAGATTAACCCATGTTGTTCTGATGTACCCAGAGGCCATTCATTTTCACTGTTTTGTAGTAACCCAATGTCTGATTAAAACAATCAGTGAAAATTCTAGGCCATTTTCTTTTCAAGCATTACTTCTGCCCTGTGACCTCTCTTTTCTCCAGTTGCACATATAAAAGACCCTTTTACCTCTTTACTGTATCCTGTATGTTTTCTATACTCTTTTCTAGATGCTCTATTCATTTGTCCCTCCATGCTTTAGGTTGCTTATTTTCTTTTTTCTTATCTTCTAGTTTACTAATTCTTTCTTTAGTCATGTCCAATTTGCTGTTGAAAATCTATCCATTAAGTTTTCTTTTTTGACTAGTGCACCTTTTAGAGTTCCTAAATTTTTTTAATAGTCTTTAGTTTTCTGACAAAATTCTTAATCCTATCTTTTGTTTTTAGCTTAGGCAGCATATTTCTTTTGAATTTTTTTTTCTTACATGGATTCTCTGAGGATCTGTTTCTACTATTTATTGCTTATTTTGTTTTTGATCAATTTAGCATATCGCTTTATGTATTTATTTATTTATAATCAAGTGTTGTATATTAGCTATTAAGATTAGTAGAAATAAGGCCAGGTGCAGTGGCTCACGCCTGTAATTCCAGCACTTTGGGAGGCCGAGGTGGGTGGATCGCGAGGTCAAGAGATCAAGACCATCCTGGTCAACATGGTGAAACTCCGTCTCTACTAAAAATACAAAAAATTAGCTGGGCATGGTGGTGCGTGCCTGTAATCCCAGCTACTCAGGAGGCTGAGGCAGGAGAATTACCTGAACCCAGGAGGCAGAGGTTGCGGTGAGCCGAGATTGCACCATTGCACTCCAGCCTGGTTAATAAGAGCGAAACTCTGTCTCAAAAAGAAAAAAGATTAGTAGAAATAGTTTGAGGCTTAAGGTACACAGATAAATTGATGAGTAAATAAACAAATGTATGTGTAATATTGTTTACCTGCACACAAATGATTAATACACAGATAAAATACTAGTTTAGGAGCCAAGTAAATCAGCCAAGTAAAAAGCTAATTTACTTGGCTCCTAAACTAGTATTTTATGTAGTTTATATAACAATAATAACAGCAGCAATTTAACATGTGAAAAACTCAGGTTAGTGTAAAATTGTATTATATTCTATATAGAAGAAAAGTCTTACAAGTAAACCATAAATATGTGAGAGTATATAGAAAATGATATGTGAATCAGCATTGTATTCTATGACAAAACTTTCAAACAAACTAAAACATTCATTAAGCAAGAAATGTTAAAGAAATTATAATATAGTTACTATCCAATATAAAGAATATATGCAGCTAGTGATCATATTGATATGCACAAGTCATTAGTTACAGGAAAATAAAAACAAGACAAATACTAATTTGTATAGCCAAAAAAAAAAAAAAAACGCCCCACACTTTTGTGAAAACAAAAACACATTCTAATTCTCAGAAATTTATTTTTTTTCTGTTTGTATTAATAGAGGAAAAAGTAAGGAAGAACATGTGCCAAGCTATAAGTATTGGGTATCTTAAAGGAGAGAAAGGAAGGCTAGGATAAAATAAGATTTGTTATTTTTTTCTTTACCTAACTTATGTCATTCTATGTTAAAATAAGCATGTATTGCTTTTGTAATTTGAAAGAAAGTTCTAATAAAGCATGGCAAAAGTAAACACAACAAATGTGACAGCAAAATTTCCTATTATTTAAAGATTTTGTAATGGTAGTTTTCTCTTATAAGGGTAAAATTATTCAAATTGTCAGCCATATTTGCTCATTAATTATGGTTGACATTATTATGTAATATAATTCAAATTATTTTTCTAAAAAACAAGCACTTATATTTTTATCATATCAAAAATAATTGTCATTTTATTTCTGGCTTTTGAAGGCTTGCAAATATATCAGACTAATCTTAATCATGTTCCTTAGAGTCTTGAGTAAAAATATCATTTTATTAACCTCTCCATGAAAATTTATTAGAAACCTCTCAAATGACTCCATCTGATTTGATTGTACAACCTTTATTTATAATGTACCACTCTTTTATGTTTAAGAAGAAAATATTAGTCTCCAAACTTATACTGTAAGTCCTATGAGAACAGTTGGGCAGAGAGAAGCCAAGAAGTATTGAGTGAATAATTAGAATACTTAACTAAAATGGCACAGATCAGTTTTCTTAAATGTATAATACCCAAATAGAGGCATAAAAGAAATAGTTGTTCCAAAGAACAGAGGATGTGGTAAGGGTAAAACAACATTAAACAAGTTGCACGTGCTGTGGATACAGTATCACTTCTTTCATACTGTTTTAGAAATTGAATTTGTTGATTTACTTTTGGAATGTGTGGCACAAAATCTCTGCGAAGTTAATTCCCAAATTCAATTATTTTTCTCAATTCCAATTTATTTAATATTGTTTGCAAAGTTGGATAATTTTATATTCCCATGTTTGGTGCGTTAGTTATCTATGTCTTCTGTAACAAATTCTCACACTTGGTAACTTAACATAATTTGATCATTTTACAGTTCTAGAAGTCAGAAGTCCAAAACAGTCTCTCTGGGATAAAGTCAAGGTGTTGGCAGGGCTATATTCTTTTCTGGAGACTCTAGGAGATAATGCGTTTTCTTTCCTTTTCCAGATTCTAAAGGCTGCCCATACTCCTTGGCTCTTGGCTTCCTTCTATCTTCAAAGCTAGCAATGGCCCTTCAAATCCATTTCACAATGTATCATTCTGACACTGAGTTTTGCCTTCATTTTCCACATTTAAGGACCCTTGTGGTTAATTGGGCCTATCTAGCAATCCAGGAAAATCTCCATATTTTAAAGTTAGCTAATTATCTATCTGATTGGCAACCTTAATTCCATCTGTACACCTGATTGCCCTATACCAAGTAATCTAACATATTCAGAGGTTAGATTAGGATTAGGCTGCCAAATCTGTTAGGGATCATTACTCTGTCTACCACATCCTTTGTTGCATAAGAATGAAATAGATTAGGAAGAATCAGAGATAATCTTTTAAGAAAAATCAGTCTCACAATCATCATGTTATATATTATTGTTTTTAATTTCACCTTCAAGGAGGAAAAATGTGGAGGTCTACTTTGAGATACAGGATTTTAAAAAATTTTCTTTGAAATTTGGATATTCAAAAATCCACATAGTCCCAAATTCTGGAATTTTTCATTTTACTAATTATTCCTGGATTGCTGCACCTTTAAAATAATTTATATTGTAAAAATAGATCAATTTCTTTTACTGTTTATACTTTAAAAGTAGATATGTTTGTCATTTAAATAAAAGATTGATTTAATTCAAAATTAATATATACTTTTGCTGAAGTACATTTTGGTGACAGAAAAAATTGTTACAGACTCATGTCTCTGAGACCAGAGTATTGATTATCTTCTCATCTGATCACTGGTTACTTTTGCAGCAAGATTATTGAGCTAGCTAAGGCATGGCTCCTTAGGCAAAAATACAAGCATGATTTCGAGGTCAACACTTCTAAAAATGACTGTGTACTCTCAAAGAAGGAAATGTCAAGTCCCCCAAATTTCTCTCTTGCAAGAAATAAATAGATAAAAATCTTCATTCCCTTCTATTTATTTAATTTAATAATGAAAATATTGTGCTTGGATACCATTTATGCTCTCCAGAGTTCCTAGCAGTCTTGTTTATGCTAACTTTGGGGACAAAGAAAGAACAAAGGGAAATATCCACTAAACTAGTAGATCCTGAATGTGTTATTGCTATTCTTAAATTAATGTAGATTTCACTTTCCTAATTTGCAAAATAGAGTAATGACATTTGCCTCAAGTTATTTTCTAGCTCCAAACTCTTATAATTTAAAAATCTGTTTTTTTTGAAGACCAAATTCTACTTAGTATCAAGAAATAGACAGTTATAGTCACAGTTATCTAAATAATTCTCCTCACTATTCACTATATCATGTTTAATAATTATCAATGAGAATAATGACGATTTTCTTGAAAATGAGTTTTTATGAGCTATTCTTTGCTAAGTAAGAAAATTGTAAGTATAAGAGATATTACTTAACACCTGTCTTAAGGGATGATCTTGCAATTTCATGGAAAGCCACAAGCTTTTGCACTGGAGCTTTTCTTTGCACTGGCACTTTTCAAACATGGGGTCATGGGTGAGGAATCTCTGCTTCATCAGTTTTCTTGGCACATCAGGAAAAGTGTGCCTCTCTTGCCATGTGTTACTTCCTGGACCTTTGGACCACAGAGTTCCATATCCACTGACATACATGTTGCTTTTCCCCAAGATTTCAAATGCTACTCTTTCCATAGGTCTTAGAAATTCATTTTGCTTTCTTTCCCATAACATTGCCATGACTCACTGTGTACCTAGAGGATCCTTCCTTCACAAATCCGTCTAATAAGTGGAATGCAATCATTCCTCATAGTAATCATTTACTTATTCACTCATTTATTTTTTTGTTCAACTTACAACTTACCTCTTCACGTTCTTTTGAGTAACTTGCTCTCTCACTATGCTCTAGTTCAACAGACTTCTGTTCAGTACCTCAGACATACCAAGATCTTTTCACCTAGAAATGATCACATGCACCGTCCCATCAGTCTGGACTGCTCTTCTCTTCTGCATTCTGCTGTTCGAGGCTGGCTCCTTCTCACCTTAAATGCTGCATTCTCAGCGAGAACTTCTCTAAGCATCTTAAGCAGACCAGTTTATCTCTTTGCCTGACCCAAGTTAGGCTTTCTGTATTATTTTTAACTTTCTGGTAGAACCCTATCAGTTCATGAGCAGAAGACCTACCAAGTAGGTATAGGATACTTAAGCACTCATTCAAGGACACAGGGTCTGTCTGTCTGATTTACTCCCAAGCCTCTGAAGTCATCACATGAACAATGTTCCAAGAAGTCATTGTCTGTTCCCTTAAAGCCCTGGCAGGGATCTTCATGATTGTTCATAGTTTGGTCTTTTCTCCCTTTATCTCTTCAATGACTTTGACCTCTCTATCCTTCTTTTCCAAAATTAACTTCATTAGCTTTAGAAAAATGGTAGATGTCTTAATCACCTTGTACTTCCGTAACAACATACCATAGACTAGGTAACTTAAACAACAGACATTTATTTCTCATAGTTCTGCAGGCTAGAAAGTCCAAGATACAGTTGTTGGCAGATTTGGTTCTTGATCAGGGCACTCTTCCTGGCTTGCAGGTGGCTGCCTTCTGACTATGTCCTCATGCAATAAAAACAGGAAATTTGCTGTCTCTTTCTCTTCTTATGAGGATACTAATATCACAGAGCTTCATCCTCATGACTTCATCTAGTTCTGATAACCTCTCAAAAGCCTCATCTTCTAATACCATTACATTGGGCATTAAGACTTCAGTATATGAAGTTTGGGGTGACACAAACAATATTAGTCCATTTTGTGCTGCTATAACAGAATAACACAGACTGGGTAATTTATTATGAACAGAAAAGTATTGGCTCCCAGTTCCAAAGGCAGAAAAGGCCTTCTTGCTGCATCATTCCACAGTGGATGGTGAGAAGGTAAGAAAGGATGAGAGAGAACAAGAGAGAGAGAAGGAGAGAGAGAGAAGACCGAACTCCCATCTTTATAACAAATCCACTCTTGCAATAACAATATTAATTCATTCATGAGTACACCGCCCTCATGGCCTAATTACCTCTCAGTAGTCCTCACCTCACTGTTGCACTGGGAATTAAGTTTCCAACACACCTTTGAAAGATATATTCAAACCATAGCACATTTAGGGTATTAGCAGTAGGCTTCCTTTGTTATTCTAGCAGCTTGTGCCTGCCTTCCAAGATGTTAACTATGGCCACAACAATGACTTTTGTCAATTGAACCTGGTTACCAATTCTGCTGTCTTTAATCACTGTTGACATCCTTTTGGAGAAAAGTTTATAACCATGACATATACATAGAGAATTTATTTTCCTTTCCTTCTGATGTATCTTTAAATATTTTAGTCCTACAGCTCTCTCATGATATTTCTTATATCTTTTCATGTAGAGGCATTTTTGGCACACGACAGTCCCTAGGACATAGAGGAAAAGATATTTTCTTTTTCATATATATCAGCTATCTGTCTTCTAAGCATCTCAATGACCTATTCTAATCAAGGCTGAAAAGTGTCTCCCTGGGACAGGTCCAGAATTCATTGTATTTTTATGCCTTCTGAGTTTCCCCAAGTAGTTGGATAGCATACATTGTTCTGCCCATTCTATGAGATAAGTCTGCTTCTTTTACGGCAACCCCAAACACTTTAAGGAAGGGATGTCAGAATGTAAGACTTTGGCCACTCTTCTACAGCTTTTTTATCTTATTTCTATAGGAAGAGGCTCAAATTTTAAAGAAAAATCAGTGTCTGACTTTGTATTTAAATGTCCCTTTCTAGACTGCCCTCTTTCACAACAGCTCCCTGGAAACTGCAGAGGAATCACCGTCTTCAGCAAGCTTTGTCAAGTATGCATTCATGAGATCCCCACTTTAAACATCCAGCTAAGCACTTTTATGTCTGCACAGGGGCTTTAAAGAAGAGGCTGGGAAGTTCTGCTTTTGGCACCATCTCGGCTGTCTCTATTTCACAAACCTGCACTAATGTCTGATAAGCCACATCAAAACTTTTGCATTTGTCCTCAAAGAATGTTACCACTATTATTCTAAAATGCTCTTTGCGTCTAGGAATGGTAACGATGGCTCTGTATGGACATAGATAGGATTAATAACAATGCAGAGTTGAATTCGATTATCAAGCTCTGAATATTTAATTGTCTTATTGAGAAAATCTGAAATTAGAGGGGCATAAAAACATGAAACTGTTTTACTTCTTTTCTCCTTGTCACTCTTTAATGAGATTTATGGGAGACTTAAAACGTTCCTGTCACTTTTGTATTCAAAAAAGTCCAGTCTGGCCTACGTTAGTTTAGAATTTCAGTTTTTTTTTTTTTTTTTTTAAATCTAAAACTCTTTTCTGTTTGCTTTTTTAGAGGAGGTCTTGCTCTGTCATCCAGGCTGCAGTGCAGTGGTGCAGTCATGGCTCACTGCAGCCTCAACCTCCTGGGCTCAAGAAATCTTTCTGCTTCAGCCTCCCAAGTAGCTGGAACTACAGGCATATGCCACCATAACCAGCTAATTTTTGTTTTTGTAGAGATGGGGTCTTGCTATATTCTCCATGCTGGTCTCAAACTCCTGGTCTTAAGCAATTTTCCTGCCTTAGCCTCCCAAAGGGCTGGGACTAGGCATGAGTGACCACACCTGGCCTCTTGTCTAAAACTCTTATCCTTCCCTCAATGATAAGCCTTGAATTGTTTGTGGAGGTAGAGATGCTCTTTGATTTATCAAAATAACAAAAATAAATAAATAAATGAAAATAAAAATTTCCCAGTTAAGTTTGAATTTCAGATAAACAGCATTTTTTTTAGTATAAACATATTCCAAATAGTGCCTGTAACATACTTACATTTTTTTTGTTTGTGCTTCTGAAATTCAAATTTAATGGGTCTTCTTGTATTTCCTTTGGTAACCAATTTTATTACTATAGCCTCTGGATCCTCCAGGGTCTTTGGTGGGTGGTGGTAGAAAGAAATGAGTATTTTTGTGTAACTGAGCACATGATTATAAGCAATTCCTTCTCGATTGTTTCTCAGGGTTTTGCTGTGTTTCCCTGAGTCACCGATTTACTGCAGATATTTGAGTCCAAGTCTTCTGTTGGCAGGGAAACTTAAATACTTGATGAATCAGAGTAAACTTCAGGATAACTGGGACCAGGATTTCTGGGGCAGTCTCTTTTCTTATGTGAAAACCTTCAGAGATGTCCTTTAAAATAATATTGGCTGATATTGTTAAGAAAACTATACATTCACACGTTAATATGAGCTTCATTTTTAATCATGTGATGAAGAATTAAATATTGAAATCACTTTTGGACTACTGACAATTTTATTGTCAAGACACTTAAATGAGCTGATGCTTGTAATTTTAAATGAAGCCAACAATCTGAAGCCCTCAGATAAAAATCTGTATATCTTCACTCTGTCAAATGATGGGTAGAATACCAAAGTCACAAAGACATTTTTCTGAGTCCAGGAATAAAATATTCTTCATCACAATGATATCTGCTGCTGCTTATTTTGCACTTTGGAAATTATAATTTAAATAGTTATCACATGTACAGATATATACGGAGGTGTGCTATATATATAAAATGCATATAAAGTATTCCTATTTTTTGAGGTATTTTAACAAATACAAAGACAATATCATGTCTCTACCAACAGTGAATGGCCTTTCCCTATAACTGGATATACTGGTGTTCAGATATTTAAAATAGGGATTAATGTCAGATTGTTGATACTTCAACTGGGATTTGAAATACAGATGCATATGAGATGGATTCTTTATGACCTGCCTATTGGGTTAAGCTCAGATGGTTTTTTTTGTTATTGTTGTTGTTGCCATGGGAAAGGTATAAAAGACAATGGTAAGATGAAACCAGGGAGATAAATGGATATGCAGATGATGCTTAGGCCTTGTAATAATAACTAAGTACCTATGATGTAGAGTTGTTTCAACTAAATACGGTTGACTATATTAAACACTTTGGAGAATGTAAACTACTATAGCCAAACATAATTATTTCATGTTTTACAATTCTGTTTCTCTCTATTTAAATATAAATATTGACCTAATAATCTGTGCATGGCAGGAATTCTTATTTAAAAAATTTACAAAGATTTAAGGGGACTTTTGAAAAAGCTCCTGGAAGACTTATGGTTCTAATTATGCCCATCAGACAGAATACAGCTTTCTAAAAATAATTTTCTTTGGAGCCATGCAGATTTTAGTGAATAATATGTTTAAGGACTTTTTATTGAGAAAACTATTACAAAGGTAAATAGAGACATATTCCTCGGCAGCCTTATATAAATATAGTGGAATAAAGTGCAAGATAAAAATCTACTTAAACACAGAATTAGCTTGGCTTTTATTTTTCTTCTCCCTATTCTTTCCTTCCTAATTGTTATAATATTGACAATGTTAATTTTCCATAAATTTATATTAAAACTTTTTTTCCCATGTAATAGAGAAAATGGTCACAAATGTTTGTAGTTTCCTATTACTTAACTCTCCAACCCTTACCTTGATATTGTGAATAAATTTCACAGAATTAATTTTAGAATATAACGGAAAAAAAACCTAATTTCTGGTCATGTTTATGCCTGTTTGTGGCTTGTAACCCCATATGTTGTCAAACTTTGTGTTCAGTTTACAGATTTTGAATCAAAATAAAAAATTACACATAACGTATGATTTTAGTTGTGTGACTTATAATTTATGCATATTAAAGTGTTGGTGTATATGTATATAAGTATATAATAATTAAATATATATGTCTGTGTATATGTACATTTTAAAGACATAGAACCATAAAAGACTACATTTGTGTTTTACGATTTCATGATGTGATATTTCAGTGGTAACAGTAAGATGTAGTTTATAGACAAAGTATTTTATATATAAGATTATTTGAATTGTGAAGAAATAATCCCTTTGTTGAAAAAAGTTGAGGTCTCACGCCTGTGAATACTTTGTAAACCATAAAAAAACATAACATCCAAAGTTGATCTGACAGTTGAAGATCAAGTGTACATATCAAACTGAAAAACAGACACAGCATCTGATTTTTCATTCTGGCAAGACATCGCTCATATTTCAGTTTATGTCTCTTCTAATTGATTCAGCAGGCCTGACATTGAACTGCACATAATAGAACCAGTTTGATGAGGTGCAACCTATCCTAAGGTTACCAGGTAACTTAAAAAAAATTAAACATATGTTTCTAAGTCTAGGGCTTCAAAATTGGACACAGTTATTTGCAAATAAAATTTTTAATTAAATAAGTTTAATTGCTGTGCTATTTTAAGAGTTATTCTGCTGAAAAGGGTGTTCTTAGAATAAATAGCATACTAGAGACAGAATCAAAGTACTTTCATATTAGGAAATATTGTGTTATCATAGTGCAGCAGATTTTTGCATTTCATTAATGAAACAAAAATTTGTTTGCTTTAAAATAGGGAGATACACTAGATAATTGTGTAATTTCCTTACTAGCTTTAAAAGTCTGTAAATAAATAATAAAGGTCTCTATCACTAAAAAATAAAACAGTAAAGCCAAATGGAGATTTTCTTCTTATACTCTACTACTTGGATCTTTGCACTGCCTTTTCCTTTCAGATGATGTTTTCCTTAATATATTCTAACAGGAATAATCAAGCTTTTGTGAAGCAAGGAACTGAGTGATGAGATAAATAAGGACAAATCCAGAAAGGTAGCTGATGTATTTATAGTCATACCATCTTTGTTCATTTTACTTTGAAAATGGATTTATTTGTGTGTTGCTAGCAAATTCCTTAGCAAGACAACCTCTGAATCTATTTCAAAGTTGTTGGAAGGGAGGAGCAAAAAATAATCTGATTTCCATTCTCTCTGATATTTTCCCTTCTATTATAAAAAGCTACTTGAAAACAAAATTTTAAAGCTCTGATTTTTGACAGCCACTGCAGAACGTAGCTACCATTTCTGCACCTCACATAGCTGTCAGACATGAGAACCCAGGAGCATCTACTTGAAGAAATCTCTGGTGTTATCTAAAATGAATTATTTCTAATAAGTCATTATTTGCCTCTGGCATCCTGGTCTTCAGTGTTGAATGTCTCTTCTGTCTGAATATGTTTTCTGCAACTATTGATAATCAGAGCTGATGTGGACAGAGATCACTATGAAGAAGTGTAGTCTTTATAAAAACCGTGCCAATGTTCATGCTTGGAAAATGGGTGTGATTTACTAGGATGATATGTTTGTGTTTGCTTTTTGATACAGCTCCTTGTTCATGTAGCATTTGTAAGTTGAGAGTAGAAAGAGATTTGGAAGCAAAGAAGAGAGGGAGAAATTGGCAAGAATATTTGCATCCTAATAATGGAACAAACTATCTTAAAATACCACCATGCTTACCTCTCCCTTTCTGAAAACATATTTAATTTTTATAATGACTTTAATAAGCTAGTTAATTTTTTTGTTTTTTTGTTTTTTTTTTTTTTTTTTAGAGACAGAATCTGACTCTGTCACCAGGTTGGAATGCAGTGGTGCAATCTTGGCTCACCACAACCTCTGCCTCCTGGATTCAAGTGATTCCCCTGCCTCAGCCTCCCAAGTAGCTGGGACTACAGGCACACACCACTGTGCCCAGCTAATTTTTTGTATTTTAGTAGAGATGGAGTACCACCATGTTGGCCAGGATGATCTTCTGACCTCTGGATCCACCTGCCTTGGCCTCCCAAAGTGCTGGGATTACAGGTGTGAGTCACCGTACTAGTTAATTTTTTAAAATTAACTAGTTTTTAAATTTGTTTATTTTTTAAAATTAACCCTGAACTAGTTAATTTTTTAAAAGCACCCAATTGAAAATGTATGTGCAACATTTGTATTTTATCAGCTTTTCTCTGAAAGCTTTCTTAATAGAGAAATTATTTTCGTATAATGACCAAGGCAATATTTATTATAGAAACATTCTAAGTAGAATACATTATAAAATGACTCAGAGTAACACAGCTTACAATATAATTCCATCAGCAGTGTAGCATCATAGTATGGATTTTCAATAGTGAAGTATGAATGCCATAGATACTTATTATAGAATATAAAGACTAAACAAAATTATTTTTATGAATAATAATTTCTAATCATTAAAAAATTGTATGGAATATTTAGGCATTTTTGGTAGAATTTAGAAACAAGTCAGAATTGTGTCAATCCATCTATTTTGCAGATGAGAACATTGAGACAGATAAGATAAATCATTTGTTTATTGTCCCTTTTTTTTTTTTTTTGGCATTATTGGATACTGGTGAATACTACAGTGACTATACCCAGATTAACCCCAGATGAACCCAACTGATTAGCCAAATGGTAACTGAAATTAGTTGAGGTGATAAAGATGGTCCTACTCTACATAAACCTGTAAGTTTGGTTTGCTTGTTTACTTTGTTTTTGTGTTTGGTGGATAAATGGGCCTACTTGTTATTTCTTGAATTCTTCTTCTTTTTTTTTTTTAATTTGTAGGTGGCAGAACAAAAATGAAGGAATTAACCAATATTTTTCTCCTAATGATTCCAGTGCATAGTATCACTGAAAGGTGGGTGTACTGTGGCTCACTTAGAGGGAAGAACCATATAGTTACTGTGTAGGGGTAATTTTGCCATGGAAATATAACAATAGCAAACAGTTACTGGATATTTATATGTCAAGGGCTGGGTTAAAAGCTTCATATGAAGTATCTTCTTTTAATCTTCATAATCACACTATATGTTAGATTCTATTTTTTTTACAGACCTTTGTTTTTTTCTATTTGAATGCACCTCCAAGAAATACCAAAGTCAGGATATTTTTGGAAACACAGAAAACAGCAACATTTTCCTAAAAATAGCTTACATAGTCATGTGACTACTCAACATAGAGTAATAGGCATGGATAGAGCCAGGTTTTGTGGAGCCTGAAGCTCATGTAATTTCAGGAGATGCCTTTTTTTTTAGAAAGAAAAAAAAGAAAGAAAGAGAGAAAAAATGAAAAAAAAAAAAGAATGAAGGAGAGGAAGAGGAAGACGGAGAGAAAACGGGAGTGTTGCTTTATTGCCCAGGCTAGAATGCAGTCTAAAAATGGGTATTGAAAACCTCTTTTATGCCAATAATTGTGCTTAGTAATGCAGAGAGAAAAAATAAGGGAAGAAAATAACAAACAAGTAGCCAACCAATATTTTATTTAAACCTGTGAGTAGGTGTGATGTGGTACTGATAAGAGTGTACATTTTGTGTATTTAAAGTGGAGAGTTCTATAAATGTTTATTAAGTTTACTTGTTCCGGATCTGAGTTCAAGTCCTGGATATTCTTGTTAATTTTCTGTCTCGTTGATCTATCTAATATTGATGTTGAAGTCTCCCACTATTATTGTGTGGGAGTCTAAGTCTCTTTATAAGTCTTATGTATCTGGGTGTTCCTGTATTGGGTGCGTATGTATTTAGGATCGTTAGCTCTTCTAGTTGCATTGATCCTTTTATCGTTATGTAATGACCTTCTTTGCCTCTTTTGATCTTTGTTGCTTTAAAATCTATTTTATCAGAGGTGAGAATTGCAACTTCTGCTATTTATTTATTTATTTATTTATTTATTTATTTATTTATTTATTTATTTTTGCTTTCCATTTGGTTGGTAAATCTTCCTCCATCCCTTTGTTTTGAGTCTTTGTGTATCCTTGTATGTGAGATGGGTCTGGATGCAACATACTGATGGGTTTTGGCTCTGTCTTTTGATTGGGGAATTTAGTCGATTTAAATTTTGGATTAATAATAATACATGTGAATTTATTACTGCTATTTGATGTACCAGGTATTATTGTATCAGGTTTTATTGTCCCATTAATACCTGGTACAGAATAAACATGGAGGATTATTCTTAATTTATCAGACTCACTCCCAAGTGTAAGAATGCTTTTAGAATGCAGGACTGTCATATTAATAGGTACACGTGTAAATCTCATATGAGAAAAATTTTACCTAACTTCATACTGAAAAAACTGTGTAATATTTCATAGTGACTGTGATGTAACATAAATAAAATACGTTATGATTCTAATAAAGGTTTTGATTCATGGCACAATATTTTCTAAATACCAAGGCGATTTATTATTTGAACACTGTGGGTTCTTCGTGTAATTGTATACTCTACTTCAGTTCTTAGACATACAGCATATGCTTTAGCAACGGAAAGAAGCTATGTTTTGCCTTTGAACTTCAGACCTGTTAAATGCGGGAAAAGAAGTAGTTTGAATATTTGGAATATACATCACAATACTGCAATATTTTGAAATCTGAATTTCATAATCAAGTTTTTCTTATAGTTTTGTTTGATCATTGATGATGTATTGTCATTCTTTGGGACATGTTGGCAAAGGTGCAGTCTTCTTGATGTAGATGTCCTTAGAAGTTTACAATTTATAATACATTGGGACTTTGTATGGAACAACAACAGAGACTTCAGATAAAGTTGCTACTTCCTAAGAATCCAAAAGAGAGAATAACAGATGCATTCCTAAGTATACTTCTCTATACAAAGAAAAGAAATGAAAAATATTAAGAGGTCAGGTTGTATAAAGATAAGTTAGAAGTTGAAAAGAGATGGAGTCAATCTGAAAAAGCTTCAGAAAATAGGTAGACCTGAAACAAACATTTAGACATAAGGTATAATATGCTTTCCTGGAAATTGTTCCAGAAGTAGCACTGGGATTTAAAGGTCACTTTGAAGCAAGGAAAGCATATTGCTAGAGAGGGTATAAAGCAGAGGTCAGTGAGAAATCAGATTGAGGGAGCAGAACTGTATAGGAAGAGAATTAGACATTAAAGAGATATGTGTGTACATGACTTCTAATTGCATACTATTTATACTATATGAAACACAGAATTGTAGAAAAGAGCATGACCCTCGAAGCTCAGCTTTATGATTTTAAAGTTCTCTCTAACTTTAAAACGTGGAAAATAATTCTACTTGCCCAATGTTTAGCACTTATTAAATCCATATTTTGTGTCAGGAACCAAGCACTTTACGTATATAAATTCATTAGCCCTCAGGATAACCCATTGGAGTAAGTTTTAACGCTTTTGTTATGAGGATTAAATGGGCAAATAAATGCCAAGAGTTTAAGTGAACTCCACAAGTTAGTAATTAGGAAGATCGTGATGAAATGCTCTTCAAATGAAAATAAACTAAGTTTAATCAAGATGTAGGTATACCATTGTTGGTAGTGGTATCACCAATGTCAAGAGAGTAAACGAACCGCTACAGCTAAAGTTGTTTGTTAATTCAAGCTTTATTTTAGTGTCTGGAGATCAGAATAAATCATTTTGTAAATGTTCTGATGCTTCACATTTGTAGGTCAACTATGTTTGTTTGTTCATTGTCTTTCAGGAGGTGCCTGTTTTCACTGCACATAGATATGCCTTGAGAATGAGTTTTTAATGAACACATTTTTTATTTTGGCCACCTGTTTCTGTTTAAAATAAATGCAGTATAACAAAATCCACTGAGTGTAGCAAAATTTCAGATTCCAGTTGAACTTAGTTAAATTTCTACCCCTTGTCTACAGAAGTTTTGAATGTCTTTCTCACATGCCAAGGGTTACCAAAAATTTCAGCCTTCTTAACAGAGCTTTGTAGAAATAGTTGGGCCCCAAGTTTCTTTAACATGTTGGAGCAGGCACTCTTCCAAGGGACTAGAAGTTAATGACTTTAGCTGAAGCTGAAACTTGCCTTCAGGTCTCCCTCCCTGATCTGTGACTAGAGCAATTAGAGTTAAATAAGATTGGTATATTGATGGCTATAACATGAAAAACTGGTACTTGTATCAATTGCAACTAAAGAAAAGAGCAGAAGGCGCCTCCTGATTATTCACCCTAGGTAATGATGAAACAGAACTGTATTTTTTATTAGATTTTGTGAGTTTTGATTTAAACATAATGTAACCTTAAAAGTTTTAGCTTTTCCTAGTTTTCAGGTATTTTATTTGTATATTTGAATTGTCATTAAAAATAATTTTTAGTCCCCAAAGCAATATGAAGTATATGATGAAGTCATATGTCAGGCAGGCATATGATCACTATTCTCAAGAACCTATGATTGGGTAAACATTAAAGATATATTTTCAATACATATATTTTTTAGAAATAATAAAATAGCACAAGTCCTCAACTACAAAACACTCTTGAATATCACTGGGAATTATTTAGGCAATACATTCACCTCAACCTGGTGGTATTTTGTCTGTTATGATTAGGTTGCAATTTTTAGACCTAATCGTTAAAGATAAGATGGTAGAAGAGCACATTGTAAAAGTGGGGAGCTGAGCTCTGATGCTTTTCAGATAGCATCAGAAAAATAAAAAGTAAAAAGATGAGAATAAAATTTGAAAAATATTTGTGAGACTAAAATAATGATTGCAATAAAAATGCAGGAATAAAATATAGACTGTGTTCCTGTAAACTGGCAAACCTCCTTGGCTGAGCTCCAGGTAATGTCCTTTCTGTGTGAGCATTTGTTGTTTAGGAAGATGCAATATGCACATTGAGATGTCAGCAAAACGAGACCCTCTGGAATCTGTTGACAGCAATTCAACTCTAACTCTGAGAGCACGTATGCGATCTCATATTACTCATCTGGAAGGCTTCTTTTTTTCATACTCAGGATGTTTTCTCCATTTTTATTTTTAATTTATTTCTTACTACAGAGAATTTGTATTGACTAGTTCTTTTCCTCCCTTCTCCTTTTGTTTTTAATGTTTATTTCTTTTGAGCATGGCTCTCTGCTCTATTACTTACTCAACTTTATAAATCAGATTCTTCTCTGATCTGACTTAAATCTCATATGAATATCCTGATTATTCTTATACCATCCTTTATCAGCAGAAGTGATGACTGCCTTCTACAACAACACAGAGGATGTTTTGTTGCAAAGTTACACTTAGAATTCACACATATTATAAGAAACATAAAAAGAAAGCATTGATCTTTATTGGAATTTGTACAGAGTAGAAATACATTTATATATATTTCAACTACTAATTTTTCTCTGGGATCCCAGAAAATAATGCAGTTTTAGGTTTCAAGACTTGAAAAATGGTGTGAGATTTTCCACAGTTGAAGAAGTAATATAACAAAATGCTGAGAACATAGACTTTGGAGAGAGACATCTTTAAGTTCAAGTCACTTCTCATGGTACTTATTAGCCATCTTCAGATTTCCTTAAACTCCTTGAGACTCTGTTCCCTCATCTGTAAAATAGGGATTGTAGTGTATACATCACAGGATTACCATGAACATTAAGTGGAATCATGTGTGATTAGCAGAGGAAAACATCAACAGTGGAAGATGACTATTATAGAGTGGAGGGAAATTTTATCAAATGACAATAAGAGCTCTTCCCATTATATCATACATTCCAGTCATACATTTAGGTAAAGTAAGTGAGCCAGAGATGTGGAAAAATTATTAGAAAGGAAGCCCCATCAACGACCTGGTCCTGACAATGGAGAACAGTAGAGGGGAGCATGCCGTTCAAAGGACAGGAGAAGAGGTTTACAGTGAATGAGGGGCCCCGGTCTGGCTCTCCCTCATTTGAAAGAAAACGAAAGCATCAGTTTAAACAAAGGCACCAGAATGTCTTATACCTGCGTGGCAGCATTCTAGGCAAAGGTGATGCAGTATGTACAAAAGAGACAAAATTTCCTTATTTCTTAGAGTTTATAAATGGGTGGGAAAGACAGGCAATAGAATAAAAAAAATCCCAGGTAATAGATTTTTAAATGCAGGTAATTTATAACATATAATAGAAAGGGAATAAGTGTTCTAGAGAAAAATCAACCAGAAAGTAATTGAGAATGTCGTGAGGAGCAAAGGGCTATTTTAACCCGGATGAGCAGGCTTCATTGTTCATGATTTCAAAGAGGTAGGGAGCCAGCAGATATCTGGGACTGGAATGTTCCAAACAGAGGGAAGAGCAAGGGTAAATGCATTTAGGCAGGAAGAAAGATGATATTCCCCCAAGAACAGCACAAAAGGTACTATGGGGAGTGGACTGAGGAGTGGGGAAGAACAGCGCTCTCGAAGAACTGGGGGACGTTGCAGGCCATTGTAAGGACTTCTGCTTTCACTTAGCTTGAGTTGGTAAGCCAGAGGAGAGGCCTAGGAAGATTTACTTGAGAGCAACATTCACTCTGGCTTCTATGTCGCAAGTTCTCAGTGATGGGTAAAGGAGATTAGGAAGATAGTTTGTTTTACAGCTTAACATGTGAAATGGTAGAATAAATGGTAAGAAGAATAACATTTGAGAGGCCGAGGCGGGTGGATCACGAGGTCGAGAGATCGAGACCATCCTGGTCAACATGGTGAAACCCCGTCTCTACTAAAAATACAAAAAATTAGCTGGGCATGGTGGCACGTGCCTGTTATCCCAGCTCCTCAGGAGGCTGAGGCGGGAGAATTGCCTGAACCCAGGAGGCGGAGGTTGCGGTGAGCCGAGATCGCGCCATTGCACTCCAGCCTGGGTAACAAGAGGGAAACTCTGTCTCAAAAAAAAAAAAAAAAAAATAATAGTAACATATATTTATTCAAAGTTTTACTATATACCAGATATAAATCTATCTTGTATAGATTTAACATCATATAATCTCATTTAATTCCTCCAATAATATGAGATAGTACATATATTATCCTTGTCTTATAGGTAGGAAAAAGAATTTACAGAGTTAAAGAACTTTTCTAAGATCACAGAGCTAGTGAGTCACATTGAGAAGATCTCTTTCTAGAATTTGGATTCTAATATGTCTTCCCCCACAGGACATTAGATGAGATCTAAATATTTTATACCCATATGTGTATATAGATTTTTTAAAATTCAGTTGTTTTCACTGTGCAGCTTAATTATTAGTGTTTAATAAAATTCATTACCTTTTGTATTATTGATTACAAGTGAATGAAAATATCTTCACAGATCCACATACTGTATTTTGTAGCAGGGACTAAAGATCAACAAACAGTTTTCTGTAAATCATATCAAATATTACTTAAATTAGCAAATGGATTATCAGCTATGGGAGAGTATTTAAAACACAGATTTATAAATGTATGCTCTGTATATTTTTACAGTGTTTAGTTGGTACAAGTGAATGGTAAACATGATTTTTTAATGTGCACTGTATTCCTTTTTTCATTTTGATTCATGGTTTGGAATCCTGATTAAGTCTCTCCAGGAAAACAGCAGATTTTAATGTAAATTAGAGTGAATAGATATTTGCTTTAAATCTAAACTCTCTTTGAAATGTCTTCTGCTTGGGTTCCACTGACATGTTTAAAGTTCAAAGTGCAGTGATTGTTTTTAAAACTAAACATTCTTCAAGAACCCTAAAAGATTAGTTTAAATTTTTAATGGAGATATGCACATAATAACAAATCACTTTAAGTAAGTAGAAGAAACATCTCACTTCACATTTCATGTAGAGAGGCTTATCTTAGCTTATTATAGGCCCAATAATGTCACCCTAAAGATATCCATATCCTAATCGCTGAAACTGTGAGCATGTTACCTTATATTGGAAAAACAACTTTGCAGATGTGGTCAAATTAAAAGTATTGAGATGGAGAGATTATCCTGGATTATCTGGGTGGGCTCAATGTAATCACAAGGGTCCTTGGGAGAGGCAGACGATCAGAGAGGGAGAGAAATAGGAGATCCACACTTCTGTTGTCTCTTCTTGCAAAAATAGTCAAAGCTATTTTACTCAGCTTTTCCAGTTAGGCACTGGACTGAGTAATTTATGTTTTTTATGTTATGTATTTCTCAGAGCCTTGTGAAGATGTGTTAGCTTCACATTATGGATAAGAAGACCTGGGCTGAGTGAGTGTGTGTGAGTAACTCGAGGTGGTAGAGTAGAATGTTTATGAGATCCTGACTCCTGAGGGTGATGAAGGGTCCAGGTCTCACAAGAGAGATGCAGTTATGGTAGGGCTCTAGTCCCAGGAGAAAAGAATGTATGGAGAAACTGAGGCAGAAATTATTAACATGGACTAGGCTAGCATGTGGTGGACCTGGAACAGCAGTAACAGGCTAGGCATGTGGGTGAGCATGAGTATCTCAGGCCCTGACCATTGGGGAAATGGTGACAAGGCTTTCTAGTCATAGCTCCTCATTGAATGAGGCTATTCACTACCTTCTCTCATCATCACCCTCGTTTAGGGTTTGAGAGAAATAAATCCTCTGATGATAGTGAATCTAGAAATAGGGGGAGGAGTCAAGAAGATGCCACAAGGTTACAAAAAAAAGGATAAGTTGTCAGTTTTCAGCAAAAGTCCCCAACTTATTAGAAAGTATACTGAGTAGTTATGTAATTATTCTAAAATCACATGGAATAAAAGGCTACTCTATCAGAGTAAGCTAGGTATACTTTGAAGGCTTCCATTCCAACACAAACAACAAACCAAAACAATAAAAAAAACCTTCCTACATGTATCTCCAATTGATTTTAATTAGAAAATATCTCTTTGAGGTTAAGGCTTATAGCAATCCTTAACACTTTGCATTCAAACAAAATTTGCTTGAAAAATTTGTTGAAAATATTCAACAAAAATTGCTTTTTCTTTATAGTTATAAGTAAAGAAAAATAAGTTTTCAGGAAGAAGGAATTATTTTGTGTCATGTGATACTTTAGTGAAAATTGGATACAATTGAGTAAGTGGAATAGAGCAAGATATAACAAAAATATTCAACTAAAAAGGGAGGAGGGAATAATGATCAGAGGGTACTAACAACAAATTTTTCCTAATTTTCCATTTTAAGTGTGCCACTGAAAATTTTCTCTTTGGAAGACTATGCATGACACAGATTGCTTGTACATTATCTTTTAAAACAGCAAAAATGTTTTGGTTCTGTCAAATCCATAAAATGGTTGGCTCCAATTTCTTTCTCATATTTAAAAATGTGTCATAGAAACATGAGTTATTGTAATTGAATGTTTTTCTCATGGCAATCTATCTTAGTCCATTTGGGCTGCTATAACAAATATCATAGACTGAGTAGCTTATAAACAGCAGAAATTTATTTTTCACAGTTCTGGAGGCTGAGAAGTCCAAGATCAAGGTGCAGGCATTTTTGGTGTCTGGTGGGAGCACATTTCTTCCTTTATACATGGCACCTTCTTGCTGTGTCCTCATGTGATGGAAAGGGCAAGGCAGCTCTCTGGGGCTTCTTTTATAAGAACAGGAATCTCCTTCAGGAGGGCTCCGCCCTTGTGATTTATTCACCTCTGTAAGGCCCACCTGTTAATACCATCACATAGTGATTAATCTTTCGATGTATGAATTTTAAGAGGACATATACTTCAGACCATAGCATATCTCAGTTAAAATGTCTATAAAACACTTAGCTATGCACATCTGTTTTTTTTAATGGCTCCTTTTCGTTGCACACTCCCTACCTATATATCTTATTTTCTCCCTTCTTTCCTTCTCTCTCTCCTTACCTTCTGATCTAGTTAGGTTTAATGTCCCTGCCCAAATCTCATTTTGAATTATAATGCCCAGGTTTTGAGGGGGAGTCCTTGTTGGGGGAGATCAGGTCATAGGGTGTTTCCCCCATGTTGTTTTATGAGTGTTTGGCAGATCCTCTGTCTGCTTCTCTCTCCTGCCACCCTGTGAAGAGGTGCTTTCTGCTGTGAATGTAAGTTTACTGAGGTCCCTCCAGTCATGTGGAACTGTGAGTCAGTTAAATCTCTTTTCATTATAAATTACTCCATCTACGGCAGTTCTTTATAGCACTGTGGGAACAGGCTAACACACCTTCCTTCTTTCCTTTTCTTAACTGGAGGCCATTATCTTAAGTGAAACAACTCAGAAACAGAAAGTCAAATATTGCATGTTCTTATATACAAGTGGGGGCTAAATAATGTATACACATGGACATAGAGTGTGGAATAATAGACACTGGAGACTTGGAAGGGTAGGGAAGGGAGAAGGGGTAAGATAAGAAATTACTCTATGGGTACAATGTACACTGTTCACATGACAGTTATGCTAAAAGCCCAGACTTAACCACTGTATAATATATTCATGTAACAAAACTGTACTTCTACCCCTTAAATTTATACCAGTTAAAAAAAATGCAAACCAGTGTTGTCTCAGTTTGCTAGGCAAAGATGTGTGATATTAATAGGTACAAGATGAACCTTATTTCATTGGCATGTTGAATATGAAGACTTCAAAGCAAAAACTGGTCCAATTTACTACTATTCTTATCAAGAAAAAGTAAGTTACAAATAGGTGGTTAAGTAACTAGCTATGACAAATGCACTGAATGTTGCAGCTGGGCATTCAACTGAAATGGCTGCACTCTGACTTGACACTAGTGGAAGATAAAGTACTCATTGCCAAATTCAAGACTCGCTTTTAACATAGAGGTTTCAGAATGAAGTTATTGTCTGTCATGTTGTATTTGAGTGTGTAATCACCAAGCATAGCATAACTACCTGCTGTACTTCAAAACTGTACCCATGTGCTTTCTGAGTCAGCTTTACTTAGCATTTTCCCCCTCCTTCTCAGCCTTCTCATGAACAACTGTCAAGTGTCTTTTCTTTTCACTTATTTAAAAAAAAATGTTAGTTCTGTATTCATTGACACTTTCCCTCCACATGATACATGTTGTTGGCTAGCTCTAGTCTGGCTTTCCTTTTTGGTTCTTTCACAAGCTGTTATGCGTTTAATCATTGTAGGGCTGGATAGGACAGACTGCTAAGTTTCAGTTTGTTCATTTATTTGGCAGAATGATCAGTTCAAAGTTTTAGTAAAAGGCAGAACAAATGTACATATTGATGTATTTTGTCATTTGAGTGGCTGCTTTAGAGATTTTCAACTTCACCAGTCATATTCATTTTCCCCATTTTTTCAGCTCAACCCCATTCATCCTCACCTCAACTTCCCATACAGATGTGCACAATTGATTTGATTTTCAGGGGTCATAATCATGCCTGCGTTTTTGGTTTCTTCTAATAAAGTTTGCCAGTTAGCCAAAGTCTTATTGTTCTTTTTTCTTCGTCCTCACATTGCATTATACCATATATTTAGATTTTTACTACAATTCTGGAAATGGATGGATGCACACACATATATGTTCATACGAACTGAATAAAAGTTGTGCTATTTGCTGGAGAGAATTCCATTATGATGGCTTCAACAAAACAGTGTTATTGGAAGGCACTAGTCAGGACTTTTAAAGCATTTATTCTAGTATATTTTACCTTTCAATATTATTTCTTGTAAATTTTGTTTGGTTTGCTTGTGCATTATTTTTTAATGTTTACTTTTCTTTTGCAACTCTGCGTTCAAATTGTAGGAAAGAAGAAAAAATAATCTGTTAATTTAAGAACTGAAAAATAATTCCCCTTAGGTGAAATGAATGTGTTTCTCGAGACCAGCACCATGGTAGACCATCTGGTTGGTTGAACAATGACTGTCTTTCAGCATAGGAATAGACTGGGTGAGAAGTGAGGCAAAGGGAACATATGTCTATGAATGGTCATGTGAGAAGCATTTAGAACTTCTCT